CATTCATTCATTCGTTCGTTCGTTCGTTCGTTCGTTCGTTCGTTCGTTCGTTCGTTCGTCCATTCGTCCATTCATCCGTTCATCCATTCATCCATTTATCCATTCATTCATTCATTCATTCATTCATTCATGCATTCATGCATTCATTCATTCATTCATTCACTCATTCACTCATTCACTCATTCACTCATTCACTCATTCACTCATTCATTCAGTCCTTCCTTCATTCCTTCCTTCCTTCCTTCCTTCCTTCCTTCCTTCATTCCTTCATTCCTTCATTCCTTCATTCCTTCATTCCTTCATTCCTTCATTCCTTCATTCCTTCATTCCTTCATTCCTTCATTCCTTCATTCCTTCATTCCTTCATTCCTCCCTTCCTTCATTCCTGCATTCCTTCATTCCTGCATTCCTGCATTCCTGCATTCCTGCATTCCTTCATTCCTTCATTCCTTCATTCCTCCCTTCCTTCATTCCTTCATTCCTCCCTTCCTCCTTGCCTCCATACCTTCATTCCTTCATTCCTCCCTTCCTCCCTTCCTCCCTTCCTCCCTTCCTCCCTTCCTCCCTTCCTCCCTTCCTCCCTTCCTTCCTCCCTTCGTTCATTCATTCATTCATTCAATCATTCATTCATTCATTCATTCATCCATTCATTCATTCATTCATTCATTCATTCATTCATCCATCCATCCATCCATCCATCGATCCACCCATCCACCCATCCATCCATCCATCCATTCCATCCATTCCATCCATTCCATCCATTCCATCCATTCCATCCATTCCATCCATTCCATTCATTCCATTCATTCCATTCATTCCATTCTTTCCATTCTTTCCATTCTTTCCACTCTTTCCATTCTTTCCATTCTTTCCATTCTTTCCATTCTTTCCATTCTTTCCATTCTTTCCATTCTTTCCATTCTTTCCATTCTTTCCATTCTTTCCATTCTTTCCATTCATTCCCATTCATTCCATTCATTCCATTCATTCCATTCATTCCATTCATTCCATTCATTCCATTCATTCCATTCATTCCATTCATTCCATTCATTCCATTCATTCCATTCATTCCATTCATCCCATTCATTCCATTCATTCCATTCATTCCATTCATTCCATTCATTCCATCCATTCCATCCATTCCATCCATTCCATCCATTCCGTCCATTCCGTCCATTCCGTCCATTCCATTCATTCCATTCATTCCATTCATTCCATTCATTCCATTCATTCCATTCATTCCATTCATTCCATTCATTCCATTCATTCCATTCATTCCATTCCCTTCCCTTCCCTTCCCTTCCCTTCCATTCCATTCCATTCCATTCCATTCCAATCCATTCCATTCCATTCCATTCCATCCATTCCATCCCTTCCATCCCTTCCATCCCTTCCATCCATTCCATCCATTCCATCCATTCCATCCATTCAATCCATTCAATGCATTCAATGCATTCAATCCATTCAATCCATTCAATCCATTCAATCCATTCAATCCATTCAATCCATTCAATCCATTCGTTCGTTCGTTCCTTCCTTCGTTCGTTCGTTCGTTCCTTCCTTCATTCATTCATTCATTTATCCATCCATTCATCCATTCATCCATTCATTCATTCATTCATTCATCCATTCATCCATTCGTCCATTCGTCCATTCATCCGTTCATCCATTCATCCATTCATCCATTTATCCATTCATTCATTCATTCATTCATTCATTCATTCATTCATTCATTCATTCCCATTCATTCATTTCCATTCATTCATTTCCATTCATTCATTTCCATTCATTCATTTCCATTCATTCATTTCCATTCATTCATTTCCATTCATTCATTTCCATTCATGCATTTCCATTCATGCATTTCCATTCATGCATTTCCATTCATGCATTTCCATTCATGCATTTCCATTCATGCATTTCCATTCATGCATTTCCATTCATTCATTTCCATTCATTCATTTCCATTCATTCATTTCCATTCATTCATTTCCATTCATTCATTTCCATTCATTCATTTCCATTCATTCATTTCCATTCATTCATTTCCATTCATTCATTTCCATTCATTCATTTCCATTCATTCATTTCCATTCATTCATTTCCATTCGTTCATTTCCATTCGTTCATTTCCATTCGTTCATTTCCATTCGTTCATTTCCATTCGTTCATTTCCATTCGTTCATTTCCATTCGTTCATTTCCATTCATTCATTTCCATTCATTCATTTCCATTCATTCATTTCCATTCATTCATTTCCATTCATTCATTTCCATTCATTCATTTCCATTCGTTCATTTCCATTCGTTCATTTCCATTCGTTCATTTCCATTCGTTCATTTCCATTCGTTCATTTCCATTCGTTCATTTCCATTCGTTCATTTCCATTCATTCATTTCCATTCATTCATTTCCATTCATTCATTTCCATTCATTCATTCATTCATTCATTCATTCATTCATTCATTCATTCATTCATT